GGAGGTGAAAAACATGTCGCTCCATTTGATCCAGCTTTGCAATCTCTCTGGATCCATGGCAACCAATGTCACTTTGAGCAGCACTAATTTCAGATGCTCTAAGATACACCAGCCTGGAGTCGGTAGCACGGAAAAGAGACTAATGGTGCATCTACACTGCAGGGCTTAACTTGAAATAAGTGACACAAATTGAGCTACCTCAGTTGAGGATCTTATTTTGAAATAGCTTATTTCAAAATAGGGAGTGTCTACACAGCACTTATTTTGAAATAGAGCACTCTTTGACTTCCCTTATTCCTCGTACAATGAGGGTTACAAGAGTCGGAATTAGAAGTCCTCCAGCTTGACAGTATTTTGACACTATTTTGAAATAAGTGCCTGCTGCGTAGACATGCCAGTAGGTATTTTGAAATAGTGTTGTGATTTAGACGTACCCTTAGAAAGGCACTTTCCTCTCCCTACACCAAACTCCCCTTAACTGGGCCAAATATACTGGCAGCACAGCTCAGGATCTGGCCTTTGATATTTAAATAATCTCTAACAGGGAATACCAAGCTTCTTTCAGGGTTTCGTCAGCCCCTGCTGGATTTGAGCCTTGCAAACTGCAGTCAAGACCAACTAATTGCAATAATAAGTTTTAAGAAGGGACTGCCTAGTTACCTGGAATTCTTATGCCTGTGATGTATTTTCCAGTTACTAATTAATATTCATTATGATCCATGTATGCATTTGGTAAAGAGCTAATGACTTCTTTTTTTGCCAGCTACCTTTTGACGTAGACAGACCGACATCTGCCTAAAGAAGCAGGAAGGGGTTTCAGAAGCAAAGTTTACCTCAGTAGAGACAGGTCTTTGGAGTGCTCAGGAGCATCAGAAAGATGCCATGGAGTGAGAGGGAAAGAATTGGAGGGGCAAACAGGAAACTTTTCCTTCCCACCAGCAAAAAGAACCTCCCTGTGAAAAATATATGAGAGGAAGAGGCTTTCATTGTTGTTTAGAGTCTCCTATATGAGGAAAAATCAGTGGGAGGGCAGAATGGTGGACTCAGAACTCACACATCCATTCTTCGGTGTAACGTAATTACTCATCTAGTGAGTGTTTGGGCAACTCTGTTCTATCCGCTTTTATACTATTTCCTTCAGGTAGTGCTAAATCTTCATCAACAATCTGTAGTTTGGATGTGATTGAAAGCAATTTTAAAAACCCACTTTAGAAATTTAAATAATAGTTAGCAAAATTTAATCCTCACCACACTTTCTTCCAAACATTCTCTCTTACCAGTTTCTTGACACATCCCACCAGCCCCCTGCCTGACCAGGCTTGTGTCCATGAGTTTTGTTTTTATTTGCCTCATTTGTCTTAGCTGCCAGCTGTTTGAATGTCTCCCCCTCACTGATTTGTAAAATGCCATGTTCATGTTTTGGATGTATAGGGAATAACAACAGAACTCTGCTAGCTAGCTGGAGTGGAGCAAGAGCCTTCTTTAACAGGGAAGGGTTCCAACTTAGTCCTTACTGGGAAGATATTGGCTTTCTGTGCAAGGACAAAAAAAATAGAAATAAATAGCTGAAGTAATAGGGTATGTCTCTCGCTTTTTACCATTGGAATCTTGAGCCACTTCCCGTCTGGAGCCTGATGCTACAGTGAGATTTAGGGGATGTCAACACTGCAATTAGACACCCTTGACTGGCTCACAGGGCTCAGACTAAGGGATGTTTTGTTGAGGTGTAGCTCTTCAGGCTCGGTCTGGAGCCTGGACTCTAGGAACTTTTGAGGGGGAAAGGCCTCAAAGCTCAAACTCCAGCCCAAGCCAGATTGTCCACACTGCAATGAAACAGCCGGTGGGTCAACTGGCCAGGATTTGCCCCGGTGTGGGTGTGCCTTAGATATTTGAACAATAGCACTGTCCAAATGCCAGGCTCCCATTTCAGGGGTGAGCCCAGGGACCTTTCCGTCCCACACTCCCTCCCAGTCATTGCTCTCTCCTAGTGGCATCGAGCATCCCAAAGCATGTGGGGAGGGTAAGAGGGCAGAACTATGGCTATTTCCTGCATGTGCAGTAGAGTGCCCCCTGCGGGGCTGCAAGCTGAGGTGCACTCCAGCAGTCTGTTGGAGGACTCAGAGAGGCACTTGCGGGGTGCAACTCAGCACAGGATTGCACCTTACAGAGACCCTGGACCCAAAGACATGGCTGAGGTAAATAAAGCGTTGCAGAGTTAGGCTCCAGGTTTGCATAAAGACCCAGGTGCCTGAGTATCGGAATGCTGCCAGGGCATCCTGTTTTTCTCCTCGCTGCCTCGAAACTGTGATGTTATTATGTGTGACAGAATAGCACGCTTTAACAGCTGGAAGTCTTGTCACTCGTCAACTCTCGCCCCAGCATCAGTCCTCCTGCTGTCTCATTGTTGAGATGCATTGAAACACGCAGTGAAGAGGCAGTGCCACAGAGTTAGGGTGTGAAGAGGAGAACAAAGCTGTACTGCAGCAGCAAAGGCTCCACTACAGAACATTAAATGAAAAAAAAATCTTGTCATTGGAAAAAGAATACGTAGCAAGAGGCTATGCTTTGGGGTCTTGCCATTTCATTTTGTTGGGCATATGCTCTTTTGAGAGCTAAACTGCTCTCTTGCCTATATAGCCCCGGTCTGCTGCCCCATACATAGCTGTCAATATGCTATCAGTGTCCCAGAGCTGCAAACCAAAGAAACTTCTCTTTTTACTGAGTTGTAGAGTGAAATATAGAGGCACTTCAGTGAGCAGACCTTTCAGGTGTTATGTACACAAGTTGTGTGATGCACCCCATTCAACACCCCACTTTCTAATTTCAGCTCAAACAGACTAGAATCTATTGGTGAGGGAGGTTAATATTGTATCACATTATAGAAAGAAAAATATATGGCAAAATGAAATTGTAGCTTTTGGAAGTTCTAGGGATGACACATTTGAAATATGTTGTACTTCTATAACCCTGTATTGCCCATTTTTAGGAGAAACAAGTACATTTTGTTGCGAACAGAGAGCTCAGGAGATGCTTGAGAAAAATGTCTCCTGCGGTGTGCCTTCTTTATAGGCAACATGATCATTCATTCATATATTATCAGTTGCTGGTGGATCTCACGATGTGGCCAGGTCTTTCAACTTAAAAATCAACTATGTATGCCAATTATTTTCTGTATAGTGTCCACCATTGTATTAAGAGGGCTGTGGTTATACTGTTTCAGATATCTCTATAAAAATAGCAAATCTATTCAGCAGCCTCCTTTGGACAAGACCTCATCACCACAGTCTTAAACAATTGGTTTGTGTCAAGAGTTTCTGATCTAGTCCAGGACGTGAAGGATTTTGTTACTGTTCCCCAGGAGCATATGTTAAACAGTATCCACCAGTGGAATTCTATCTGACACAAAGTGTAACTTGCATTGACTACATATCTGTTTCTTTTTTTCCACTGTACAGGAAAAATCAGTGTGAGAACTTGGTTTCAAAAAGTCACCTGTGGCCAGATAGAACTGGAAGCTACTGAGTCTGAACAAGATTTCTAAAACTGGGTATTGAGAACTAAAGGGCAGATGGTGTAAACTGAGATAGGTTTGTTGAAGTCAATGGAGTTATACCAATTTACACAACCTGATGATTGGCCCTAAATGTTTGCTCTGACCTGAGAGTGTCAACACAGCATTTCGGAAGAAGTTGTAAGTATTATCAGAACACAAAGATAAGTTTTAGGATACAGTCCTGTGAACACAAACAATTATGCATCTGCCACATGTTGCTACCTAGTCCCTTTTTAAGTCTATTTTTCATTACTCTCTGTGTTATGCAGCCTTAAACACCCATACTTAGTCAAAATGTCTCCAGAACAGTCTTAAAAGAAAATACAGAATTAAAATCAAAGTTTCCCCCTCCCCAAACAAACAAGTTAGCATGCATTCCATCTGTAGCTTTCTACATTCGCTTTGAATTCCTGGAACTTGTCTGATCCATACTGAAAACCCCAATGCTATTTTGTTCTAACAAATTAGTCTTTGTAGATAATCCCCCAAGCAAAGCAAATGGCATTCATAGCCTCTCATTTCTGAGCTCTGGAGAGAGCAACAACTTCCAGCCATGTCAATTGTTAATTTACTCACTGAGCAGGTTGGACTGCACCCTCTGTAAAGGATTCGCTCTTTGTAGCCTGGACAGGTGATGATGCCTTGTGAAGTTAAGGGACACACGAGTGGCACACACGTCACCCAGGTGATGTATGTCTACTCAGTCAAACAATTATTTGCTCCTGTTGTACCAATAATCAAACCTATCTTTAAAAGGCAAATCAACTAGGTAAAGTGTGCTCCTTTGCATCCTTTCTAAGTTAGATGCCTCCAATCCTTAAAGGTAAAACCAGCATGTAACATTATTGCCTCTGGCAATTGTTAGGGATCTTAAGGATTAAATCCAACTTAATACATGATTTGGAGGTATTAAAAGATCATTTTTAGATTGACTGCCTAAGGATCTACATTAAAAAAATCCTTGCTGTAAGTACTGCTGCCTGCTATTCACGTTTCAAGGTACGGAGCTTTTAAAAATGGAAGAGACATACACCTGGCAAAGAAAGGAAAGAAAACCACTTTGATTTACATTTGAAAAAAGCATGAAGACACTATACATCTTCAAAGGAATAGTTTAAATAGAGAAGCAGCTACACTCATGAACTAGCAGACATACATGCACACAGAGAAAACCTGCTGAATACGCTGATATCCTGCACCTTTCTTTATTAAACTGTTTTTGAAAACACAATATTAGTAGCATGATTAAGTTAAGGTGTGGTGCAGTGTACATAGTAATTGTACAGGAGAGTCACTGTAGGCATGTATTACATACAGACAGTATGCAATTTAGGCTTGCTAAAGTTAACATATAGCAGTGCATACAACAGAATGACAGCTGTTTAAAACAGGGCTCAACAACACAAACAAGCACAGATGAAGAAGAAGAAGCATGCATTGCCCTTACCTATTGCTTATGTTACAACACTGATTAGTGTCTTTACAGAGACCAGGTATTTCGACCTAATGGGCATATGACTTTCAGCACATGCACACAGACTATTGCAAAAGCCATCTTCTCCCTGTCTGTTAGCACACTGTAAGTCTCCAGCAGCTCAGCTCTCCAGCTGCAAACATCTCATTAGACTAATGCATTCAGCACAGGCAGAAAACTCGATTTACCATAGCTACAGCAATGAATTTCCATTACGATGACAGCTTCAACCACATCATGTCCGGAAAACCAGCCAACCACTGCCTTTTAAAGAACACACACATTTTACACACAGAAAATGAGGCCTGTGTGTTGTTTCCTTTCTCTTAGCAGCTAAACTAAGGAAGTTGGGGTTGGGGGTGGGAGGGAAGAGACATTTATTTATTTATTTATTTATTTATTTAAAAGCCACACACATTGAGAGGCAATGGCACTTTCGCTTTTTAAATACTAATGTTTCCTGCAATAACATTAATTATATTATGATGATCAGAATGGGTGTTTGCAACATTTCTGTTTTAACTACCCCTCCTCTGTTGTCATAGAAACCAGACTGTATCACCATCTCTTTGTCCCGATCATGCGGCAGTGTGGCCCAATATTGAGCTTAGACGATACCACAAACCTGAAGGATGAGCTGCTTGACTTTTGGAAATTAAAATAGAGATCAGTATTTTGGAACTGCAGATATTTTAGCTAATGGGGCGACGTGCATAGGAACAGCTTTATGCACACATGTGCACATGCATGCACACATCTAGAGCATGGCGAATAGATGTACAATACTAGAGAGAGTCATAGACAGCTATATTCACAGTCCATGAAAATATTGGGGTTTGGATCTGCAGAACAGGGTACTTTTTCAGGATAAGGGAGCTGCTTTTCATGGCATTTCAATTGTAAACACTTTCAAGAAGAAATCATGTCCTCATTTGTTTTGCACAGCACTGAGCACAGTTGTGCTAAAAAAATACAATAAATAATTATCCTAATTTCATCATGCTCCACTGCCTTGTTGGTGCTAGATCACATGATGCTAGTGAGGGAGCTGTTTTGTGGTTTAAAACTGTTGCAAAGCTCCCAGATGCCCACTTCACATACTTGCATCCATTTATTACAAGCCAAAATGTACTACTTATCAGGTATAAGGGTTATTCACTTGAATACCCCCATGAGTACAAGTGATGGGTTTGATTGTGGTCGTGCTTACACTGATTTCACACTGGTGTAACTTTAGAAGTGATTTCATGGAAATCTGTGATTTACAACTGCATACCCTGAGATCAGAATTGAAAAACTTAAACAACAAATAGTCTAGCAGCACCTTAAAGACTAAGGACATCAGAATTGAAGCCAGTATATTTACAAAGCAGCGGATGGAAAGAGAAAACAAAAATGAAGAAAGATTGCATTCATGAGAGTAAAAGCAGGAGGCCTAAGTCTTGAAGCTCGCTGTTCATGCACAACATGTTAGCAAAACAGGACACTTTTTAAAAAAGAGTTGCCTAGGATTACATTCGTCCGACGTACAGCTATTAACCAACAATCTGCTGTAAGGTAAGACACTTCAATCCACATTGCTAATTCCCTGAATGAAGAATGTGGGTAATAACATAGATAGGATGGTGTTTTCCCATTATCTATTTAAAAATATATTTCCAGAAAACTTGGTATCTTGAAAAAAAGGGTGGATTATGGATTAACATGGTATTAAGCCAGCACAACAGGATCACTGCTGCACTGGGACTCAGGCCCTAAATTTACCTTTTTTTGATCTTTGCTATTGGCTAAAAGCAAAAGCAGTACCATCAGGCCAGCATGCATGAGTAACCCTGCCATTAACAAACACATACAAAAACCAAGGGGAAATTGATATCCTATGCAGATTTGAATTTCAAGTTTCCAATAGTTCAAATATTAATAATTATTAATGATCAAAAATAGTGACAGGGTCTTTTTGCAGCCCCTTCCTTCTCTTCTAATCTGTTAAAATGTTGGGGCATCATTCTCAGGCATTGCTGTCTTTTCATATTTTCCTCAGCAAATGTGTCGTTGTGGCTTGTCATGTCCAGTTATGTCAATCATGTCACAGGATGTTACCAATGCTATTTAATATGAACTGGTGACATAGCAGCACAGCAATGAGACAGCAGCTTAGACAGTTTGTTTTTAATTGCTCTTTGCCAATACTAAAAAAGTTTGTTTACTTTTTAATACAGAGCCAAATGATGCAGTCCTCAAATAAGCAAAACTTGTGTTGATTTGCTTGATGAAGAATCCCAGAATTTGCTCAGCTTGTCTTCAGGGTTCAGAGAGAGGCTTTGGCCCTAGGAATTTGAAACATACAGGCAGTCCCTGAGTTACGCGGATCCGACTTATGTCGGATCCGCAGTTACGAACGGGGCCCGTCTCCCTGGTCTCCAGCAGACCAGGGAGAGGAAGCAAAGCGGCAGAGCACGCGGGCAGCGGACGGCCCAGACGCGTCTGGGCTGCCCACGTGCTCCGCGGCTTTGCTCTGCTTTGCTCCCCATCTCCCTGGTCTGCAACTTAAGAACAGTCCCTATCTTGTACGTAACCCGGGGACTGCCTGTAGTACCATAATACCTAACAGTGCAGCACCATACCCACTCTGTGCTGCATTTCCATATTAGCACTGGGTAAAAGTCAAAGCCCTTGTGGGAGACTTGAACCTACCACTTCCTGACTCAGAAGGCTGCACATTACCAGAATAGGACAACGTGTCTAAATAGGTGAGCAGAGGAAAAAGGACACACTGAACATTAAAAATTGTAAAAAAGAGTGACAGCACTTATTGAAAGCTTTTTGGACATAAAACTCTTAGGAAAGATTAAATCGCCTCTCTATTTCATTTACAGATGGCTCAGAAAGATTCCTCTGTGAATCCGTTTTCAGTTATCAGGTTGCCTCTACATTAAAGCAAGTGAAACATGGTAAGCTTTCAAGTGTTGTATGTTTTTTGAACATGCATGTAAGTTTTACTGTGGGAGCTGCAGAGGAAAATATAGCTGAATCTGGACACCAGTTCCGACTTACATATAGATTCAACTTAAGAACAAACCTACAGTCCCTATCTTGTACGTAACCCGGGGACTGCTTGTATAGGTATTATGAAAGACGGCATAAGTGACAAACAAAGAGGAGTGTTAGATATTGTGGCAAAATGGCCAAACACATTAAAATGCAGGTCCAGATTTTGAACATTACAGAACTAGAAAGGACCAGTTCCGACTTACATATAGATTCAACTTAAGAACAAACCTACAGTCCCTATCTTGTACGTAACCCGGGGACTGCTTGTATAGGTATTATGAAAGACGGCATAAGTGACAAACAAAGAGGAGTGTTAGATATTGTGGCAAAATGGCCAAACACATTAAAATGCAGGTCCAGATTTTGAACATTACAGAACTAGAAAGGGGACCTGATTCAGGTGTGGGGTTGTGGATTGGAATGCATTTTTTTTAAAAAAGCAGGTTTGTTTAAGAATCTGGCACATCATTAATTTTTCATGAGCAAAGCAGTTACATTTCTATTCTGCACAAAATATTTGGGCTGAATGCATGCACTAGGAGCTGCATGAATACAGGCAATGGATATCAGTACAACACTGTACAAAAAATAGCATGTTTTATTATGTTCCATAGGATTTTCCGTAAGGGAGGGATACAGTAGTTTTGCTATCCTGTCTCTCATATTCAGCTTCTCTTCTCGGTGGAAAGAGGCCTTTTCTGGCCATTAAATAACTGGTTGTTCTCTGTTCATTTTGTTTTACTCCTTTACCTCTGGTTCCATTGCCTCACTTCCTGTGTTTTCAAAGAAGTTTCAAAACAGCCTTTTAAAATGTCAGATTCAATTTGCACTCCTACATTTACATGAACACACATTTGGTTATATGTCTGCACATACAAAAACGGACTTGTGTGCTGGCACATCTCATGGACACGTGCCTCATTATTTGTTCACTATTTAACTTCAGTGGAATAGCTTCCACATAGGGTGGGAAATGAAATTATGCAGTAGCAGTGTTCCCTGTAGGCTGAGCACTAAGGCGGTGATGCAGGACAGATTCAAATATTGCTCAGATGATTAGCAGAGCACCCATGATGGCAATGTGTGTTTCTACTGGTGGTGCTCATCTGCACATGCCTTGGTGCATATAACAAAATATATTCCACACATGAACGGGAATATTTAGAACATTGCTCAGAAGCCTGATAGTTAGAGCACGCATCTGGGAGAATCCAATCCATAGTGGAACTGCATCACCGGAAGAGTCTGAGGGACTGCCCTAGGGAAGATCCCATAGCCCAGTGGTTAGGACACTCACATCAGAAGTGATCTCTGTTCAAAGCCCTTCCCCCCCTTCAGATGGAGGGAAGACTTGAACCAGAAGTGTCCTACATCCCAGGTGCATACGCCCTGTGGCTTTGCCCTCTCCCATTAGCTAACTTAGGGGACAAGCCCCTTCATGCGTTGGTCTCATTCTGAGTGTAGGGAGCCTAGGGGCCAACTTGGGCTTTTTTGAATCCCCGGGGTTTTCTAGGTGCCTACAAGTGAGGTGTGGTGACACTGAGCAGCGCCAAACCTACATCGCTGTGTAAATCTTATGGGACTGACCCACAGCACACTTGGCTCAGCAAGAGGCTTTCTACTGATGTTAATGAGCTTTAGATCACACCTCATCTTTAGTTTGTGAGAGGTTTTATTCCCTAAAACATCAATTTGCCCCTTCTTAGGGCAATTCAGCTTTTAAAAATCCAGATTCTTCTAACCTGCAGCAGTGATACAAGGAGTTATTTAAAAATTAAGCCTAGCACATATGGTCACTCCATGCAGTAACTATACTAGATGCATGTGTCATTCTCTCACTGCATCCCCTCCCACACATTCCATTTGTCACAGTCCCTCAGTACTTGCATTGCAGCTATTGCATTATTTGTATGGATTATTTTCACCCTCCCCTCTGCCGCTCTCCTTCACAATCTCTTCCGAGCACAAAGAAAACTGAGAACTTGTGCAATTAACTTTCAGAATAAATAATGGAATAATGGAGGCAGAGAGAGGCTCTGTGAATTGTCCAATGATACAGAGGGGACCAGCACTACAGTCAGGATTAGAATTCAAGAGTTCTTGGATGCTGAGCAAGTTCCCA